CTGTATATTTTTTTCCTCAATGTCTGTTTAATGGAGAGCAGATTTTTTTTCAACACATTTTTAATCATAATAGTTTTATATTAATAACTCATCTCTAATAGCTGATTTATTTTATCTTCGCCATGATGACAGTAAATAATATTAGACTAGATATTCTTCAAGACACTTCTATACAGCTTACAGTGACATTTAAAGGTGTAACTAGGTTAATTAGGTTAACTAGGCAGGTTAGGGTAATTAGGCAAGTCATTGTATAATGATGGTTTGTTCTGTAGACTATCGAAAAAAAATAAAGCTTAAAAGGGGCTAATAATATTGACCTAAAATGGTGTTAAAAAAAATTAAAAATTGCTTTTATTCTAGCCGAAATAAAACAAATAAGACTTTCTCCAGAAGAAAAAATATTATCAGACATATTGTGAAAATTTCCTTGCTCTGTTAAACACAATTTGGGAAATACTTAAAAAAGAAAAAATACAAAGGAGGGCTAATAATTCTGACTTAAACTGTATGTGTTTGTATTATATATATATATATATATATATATATATATATATATTTATTTATTTATTTATTTATTTATTTATTTATTTATTTATTTATTATGTAAATGTGATACACCCACATGCATAGAAACAAAACTATTTCTAAAATAGTTAAAAACATTTATAACATAAATATTAAATCAAAACAAACTTTAATGCTGGATGTGATTAATCATCATAATTTTTGCCCAGCACTAAAAATATTATGTTTGAAATGTGTTGGAAATATCTGCTTTCCAGTAAACATCACATGGGAAATGTTTAAAAAAAGAATTGGCAAATAGTTTTCAAAACTGTGTGAGTTTGTGTGTGTAGATAAATTAGCCATATTCAATTGTCACATTTGATAAATATTTGTATTTTTATTTCAGATTTAAAATTGTAGTTATTTTAGTTAGCTATCAAGTTGTTATTGTGTATGAAATTATTTGTTGTTGTTGTTTGTTGCCATGTTTGTTGTGAATATAGATACTATTTAGACTCTTATTGAAGAGTGATTATCAGCTCATAAAACTCTCTCTCTCTCTCTTTCTCTCTCTCTCTCTCTCTCTCAGGCTCGAGGAGAAACAGACTCTCAGTCTCTGTGGTTTGGTAAAGGAGGGTAAGACAAAGTTTAGCTCATCTCTAATATCAGCACAATTATCACAAATACATCAGCCAACATGTTCATCTGGTTCACTAACACTCACATTTCCAAGCGTGTGCAAGTTCTTTTAGTGCAAATTAATTCAACCCCGGTGTTACAGAGAAACATACAGGAGGTCATTTTTACCAGCAGTGATCAGATTAACCAAAGTCTACTAGATGAGTTGTGCTGAATTGTAATAGTGATTAGATATGTACAAGTGTTTACTCGTGATTTTTGGAACTAAGGTGTGCAGTATGAATGCTATTGTATTGTTGTGTTTATATGTATCTTATTTTATCTGTTTTTAGTATGGAAAGCTATGCTGTAACGTGTGGATTTCCCTTTAATAAAGTCAAACAAGCAAACAACAAACATTTATCACATCACAGTAGTTCATATTAATAATATAGCTGAGTTTTCACTCATAATAATGGGTTTGATTATTAGTGAATGTATGAAGTATATAATTTTTTGCAAATATCTAAACATTTTTGTTGATTTGAGACACATTTACTGAAGAAGAAAATTAATGTAAGATATTGTCTGTCTTCTTAAACGAATGCACTGTATTGCTATAATTCTATTAGTATTAGTATTAGATTAAATACTAATATTACTGCATAAGCGACGCAGTGGCACAGTAGGTAGTGCTGTCGCCTCACAGCAAGAAGGTCACTGGTTCGATCCTCGGCTCAGTTGGCATTTCTGTGTGGAGTTTGCATGTTCTCCCTGCCTTCGCGTTGGTTTCCTCCGGGTGCTCCGGTTTCCCCCACAGTCCAAACACATGCGGTACAGGTCAATTGGGTTGGCTAAATTGTCCGTATTGTATGGGTGTGTGTGTCAACGTGTGTGTGGATGTTTCCAAGAGATGGGTTGCAGCTGGAAGGGCATCCGCTGCGTAAAAATGTGCTGGATAAGTTGGCAGTTCATTCCGCTGTGGGACCCCGGATTAATAAAGGGACTAAGCCGACAAGAAAATGAATTAATGAATATTACTGCATGAAATATATACTTTGAATGCAATTTATTTGTGCAAATATCCTAACATTCCTAAATTTGAGATGCATTTGCTGGAGAAGAAAACTGATTTTAGTGTTTGTTTTCTAAAATAAAGGTTTAAAAATCAATTAAGTTGACAAATCTGCAAAGTAGTTCAGGAAATAATCTTGTTTTTATAATCTGACAGATATTTGTTCTCGTTTTAAGCATTTTTGATGCACTTATTTGATTTAATATCTTAACTTTCAAGTCAATTCAGTTAGGATACATTTATTTTAACATTACACTGCAAAAAAATGCTTTTCTTATTTAGGAGTTTAGTCTTGTTTCTAAAAAAAAAAGTAAAGAAAGAAACATTTTCTAGGCAGTTAAAAAAAAAAAAAAAAAAAAAAATATATATATATATATATATATATATATATATATATATATATATATATATATATATATATATATACATACACACACAGTTGAAGTCAGAATTATTAGCCCCCCTGAATTATTCACCCTCCTGTTAAATTTTTTTCCCCAATTTCTTTTTAACGGAGTGAAGATTTCTTCCATGCATTTCTAATCATAATAGTTTTAATAACTCATCTCTAATAGCTGATTTATTTTATCTTTGCCATCATGACAGTAAATAATATTAGTCTAGATATTCTTCAAGACACTTCTATACAGCTTAAAGTGACATTTAAAGGCTTCACTAGGTTAATTAGGTTAACTAGGCAGGTTAGGATAATTAGGCAAGTTATTGTATAATGATGGTTTGTTCTGTAGATTATCTGAAAAAAAAATGAGCTTAAAGGGGCTAATAATATTGTCCCTAAAATGCTTTTTAAAAAATTAATAACTGCTTTCATTCTAGCCGAAATAAAACAAATAAGACTTTCTCCAGAAGAAAAAATATTATCAGATATACTGTGAAAATTTCCTTGCTCTGTTAAACATCATTTGGGAAATATTTAAAAAAAGAAAGAAAAATTCAAAGGGGGTGAATAATTCTGACTCCAACTGAATATTCAGAAATAATAAGTCAAAATTAAATAAAATAAAGTGACTTTTTTCCTTTAAATGAGCAAAATAAGCTACCAATGGGGTAAGCAAAATATATTTCAAAGTGAAAGCAAGATTATTCCGCTCACCCCACTGTCAGAGTATTTTGCTTGTTTTAGGAAAAAACTGTGCTTTACTAAATGCTTTTAGATTTAAGAATTTATAGATATTTGGACTAGAAACAAGACAAAACCTCTAAGTAAGAAATGCATTTTTTGCAGTGTACATAAATCACAAGACAAAAATACAAAGGAAGAATTTTACTTTTTAAGAATCTATAAATGTAAAAAAGCAACAATAGCTGTATAATATTATTATTCTGAAATGAAATATACAGTGATTGTGTTAGTAGTAATTCAGTTGTAGAGATGATGATTATAATGCTGATGAGGAACAAACACTGCTGATGAAGTCTTTCTGCACATTACTTTACATGCGACATTATGTTGATGTTTTTATTGAAGCATGGGCGGAGCCCTGTACAGCATCGACAGCATGCCGGATCTGAGGAAGAGGAAAACCATTCCACTGGTCCGAGATCTGGTGAGAACACACCAAAAACACTCAAACTTTGACTTTGACAAACTTTATTGTCATTTAAAATGTACACTACCTGACAAAAGTCATGTCGCCTATCCAAGTTTTAGGAACAGTAAATAATAACTGGACTTCTAGTTGATTATTTGGTATCAGAAGTGTCTTATATGAAAGGTAAAGGCCTCTAGATTACAATTATTTGAGCACAATAAAATATGATCATGTCTTGATTATTAATGATTTCATTAAGACAATAAGATCTGACTCTGCTTAGACTAAAGTCTCATCACTGAACAGAAATAATGTCCAGTATAGAATATAAAGTCCTGCTGCAGTGGAGACAGAATGAATATTGTGTCTGACTCCATCATGAGCTTGGAGGACTGCATCCATACATCTCTGACATGACTCAAATCACTGATTAATAAAGTCATCTGGAATGAAGAAGAAAGCGTTCAGCAGGACTCCCAGAGTTCATCAAGAGTCTTTGTGTTCATCTTCAACACCTCCTCCTTCCTCTTACCCCAGACATGCTCAATAATGTTTATGTCTGGTGACTGGGCTGGCCAATCCTGGAGCAGCTTGACCTTCTTTGCTTTCAGGAGCTTTGATGTGGAGGCTGAAGTATGAGCAGGAGCGCTATCCTGCTGGAGAATTGTCCCTCTCCTGTGGTTTGTAATGTAATGGGCAGCACAAATGTCTTGACACCTCAGGCTGTTGATGTTGATCATCCACTCTGCAGATCTCTCCATACTGAATGTGACCCCAAACCATGATTTCTCATTCACCAAACTTGACTGATTTCTGTGAGAATCATGGCTCTATGAGGGTTCCAGTAGGTCTTCTGCAGTGTGATGATTGGGATGCAGATCAACAGATGATTCAACAGAGGAATCCACCTTCTGACACTTTTCCACATCATCAACTAGAAGTAAAGTTATTATTCGCTGCTCTTACAACTGCGATCCACAAGAAGACTTTTGTCTGGTGGTGTACTTGTCTCGTAGTGTACTTAAATTTTGTCTGGTAGTGTACTTAAACTCAAAGTCAGCTTTATTGTAATTTCTGCCTCATGTACAGACATACAGAGAATTAAAATGGCATTTCAGTGCTCCACATTAGAGCTCTACATTAGTGTTTTTCATTGTTGTTGTTGTTGTTGTTGTTGTTGCCGTTGTTGTTGTTAAGATCATGTATATGTGACTAACAGAGTTTTTATCCTGTTTTCTTCACTTCTGCTCTCTGGATTCAGGCTATGGTAAGGCTTTGTTTCTTAATATAGTGTATTTTGTTTTAATATATATTTATTTATTGAGTTTTTGCATTTACAATTTAAAGCAGTACATTATACCTCCTCTACCACATCCACAATATTGCAGCACATTCATTTGGATGATAAATTATTGATTTAGAGGTGAGGCAGTGGCGCAGTAGGTAGTGCTGTTGCCCACCTACTGTTGCAAGAAGGTCGCTGGGTCGCTGGTTCGATCCCCGGCTCAGCTCAGTTTCTGTGTGGAGTTTGCATGTTCTCCCTGCGTTCGCGTGGGTTTCCTCCGGGTGCTCCGGTTTCCCCCACAGTCCAAAGACATGCGGTACAGGTGAACTGGGTAGGCCAAATTGTCCGTAGTGAGTGTGTGGGTGTTTCCCAGAGATGGGTTGTGGCTGGAAGGGCATCCGCTGCGTAAAAACTCACCGGATAAGTTGGCGGTTCATTCCGCTTAGGCGACCCCGGATTAATAAAAGGGACTAAGCAGACAACAAAATGAATGAATCATTGATTGATCCTCATTTAATTGTGTTAAGTCTTATGAAATTCTTATTTTATAATGTGCTGCTGTAAAACTGATCATTTCTGCAGGAAAAAAGGAATTCAAGCTGTAAATGCTGAGGAAATCAGGGCTGCAATCTCGATAATTTCTTTGCATATTTAACGATAACCATATACAGTTGGAGTCAGATTTATTCGCCCCCTGTTTATTTTTTTCTCCAATTTCTGTTTAACGGAGAGCAGATTTATTCAACACATTTCTAAACATAATAGTGGTAATAACTCATCTCTAATAACTGATTTATTTTATCTTTGTCATCATGACAGTAAATAATATTAGACTAGATATTCTTCAAGACTCTTATATACAGCTTAAATCGACATTTAAATGCTTAACTAGGTTAATTAGGTTAACTAGGCAGGTTAGGGTAATTAGTAGGCCCACACGGAATCTGCGCGCACAGAATTCCGCAGATTTCTGCAGATTTTTAGCCCATCATTAATTCTGTTTATTTACTTGAGTAAATGTGTAAATCTGAATTTGTTCAGTTTTTATTCAGTAATTTATAACTTTTTATTTCATATATTAAGGTTTTAGTTATGATACTCCGCTGGATACTGTCAAAATAATTCCGCAGAAATCCGCAGATTTTTACCAAAATTCTCAGCAGAAATAGCAAAAAACATCCGCAGATTCCGTCTGGCCCTGGTAATTAGGCAAGTTATTGTATAATGATGGTTTGTTCTGTAGACTATCGAAAAAAAAATAGCTTAATAGGGCTAATAATTTTGTCCTTAAAATGGATTTCAAAAAATTGAAAGCTGCCTTTATTCTAGCCGAAATAAAATAAATCAGACTTTCTCCAGAAGAAAAAATATTATCAGACATACTGTGAACATTTCCTTGCTCTGTTAAACATCATTTGGGAAATATTTAAAAAAGAAAAACAAAATTAAAGGGGGGCGAATAATTCTGACTTTAACTGTATATTTCAATAGAAGTTATACCAACTGAGTATCCCAACTGTGACTATTAGACGCTTCATTAAATAACATTTTAAATTAATGCTTATGAACAAAAACAGATCACACCTTACTCAGACTGTTTTCAGATTCTGATTTTCTATGATACACAATATAAAATATGATATTCTGAAAAACTGTCGTTGGCAGATGTAAAGTGGAGGTAAGTCTATTTTAGAGGCCTAACATCTTTACTCCAGAAACAAAGGGTAACAATCTAACTATGATCATGCCATGCTGAACAGGTAACCGTACATTTCGGTTGAGAGTCTCCAGAAAATTCTGGTTATCGACATAAATTTTATCGCAATTGGATATGATATGGTTTATCGGCCCAGCCCTAGAGTGAATAATGACAAAATTCTTATTTATAAGTGAACTATGCCTTTATGAAGTAGGAGAGTTCAGCAGAGATTGTTCTTAGTGGTGTTTTGAGGTGTAATCAGGGCCGGCGCATCCAAAGAGGCGACCTAGGCGGCCGCCTAGCGGCCGCCTAGGGCAGCAGAATACAGAGGGCGGCGACCCCGACACAACCCTCACCTCTCCTGCCCTCAGTTATATCCGTGTCTAGGGCGGCGTCCGCGACACTACCCCCCCACCACGCTTTCACTTTAGGATTGATGGTCTTTGCCTAGAGCGACAGTTCAGCTTGCTCCGGCCCTGGGTGTAATGTGTGTGTGTGTGTGTGTGTGTTCTTTTTCTCCTGTGTGTGTTTCAGTCTCTGGTCCAGAACTCTCGAAAGGCCGGCATCACATCTGCTATGGCCTCCAGTACACTCAACAATGAGGAGCTGGTCAGTGACACCACTCTGTTTATCAACCTTTAACATTTCATACATTTAAACAGGTCAATAAAAGCAACCTGAAACTAAAAATATGTATAAAAGATACAATACCTGTCTGAAATGAATGAATAAATACATAAATAAATATCTAAATATTTTCAATATTATGTACACTGTAAACAATATCCATAAATCAGCAGTTTTATCTTTTATGTTTCTTTCTTCCAACAACTTTAAACCTTGAAACTGTGTCTGTGTGTGCACATGTGTCTCTGTGTGTTTGTGTGTGTGTGTGTGTTTGTGCCACTGTAGAAGAGTCATGTGTACAAGAAGACGCTGCAGGCCCTGATTTACCCGATCTCCTGCACCACACCGCACAACTTCGAGGTCTGGACGGCCACAACGCCCACCTACTGCTACGAGTGTGAGGGTCTGCTGTGGGGCATCGCGCGCCAGGGCATGCGCTGCTCTGAGTGTGGTGTCAAGTGCCACGATAAATGCCAAGACCTGCTGAACGCAGACTGCCTGCAGAGTGAGTCTGTCCTTCAGCAGCCAACCATGCAGATGATTCATTCAAATGGCTGACTCATTTAGAAACAGCAACTGACTCTCTTTGCGAATTAATCATTCATTCAAATGATTTGTTCAAAACAACTGACTTGTCCAGAAACAGCAACTGACTCTCTTTATGAATGAATCATTCACTCAAATGACTCGTTCAAAGCAGCTGACTCATTCAGAAACAGCAACTAGCTCTCTTTATGAATGAATCATTCACTCAAACGGCTGACTCATTCAGAAACAGCAACTGACTCTCTTTTTTAATGAATCATTCACTCAAACAGCTGACTCATTCAGAAATAGCTACTGACTTTCTTTATGAATGAATCATTCACTCAAATGACTCGTTTGAAATAGCTGACTCATACAGAAACAGCATCTGATTCTCTTTATGAATGAATCATTCACTCAAATGACTCGTTCAAAATATTTCACTCATTCAGAAACAGCATTTGAGTCTTTCTATGAATGAATCATTCACTCAAACGACTCTTTCGAAACGGCTGACGCATTCAGAAACAGCAACTGACCCTCTTTATGAATGAATCATTCACTCAAATGACTCGTTCAAAGCAGCTGACTCATTCTGAAATATCAACTGGTTCTCTTTATGAATGAATCATTCACTCAAACGGCTGACGCATTCTGAAACAGCAAATGATTCTCTTTATGAATGAATCATTTAATCAAATGACTCGTTCAAAGCAGCTGACTCATTCAGAAACACCTATTGACTCTCTTTATGAATGAATCATTCACTCAAACAGCTGACTCATTCAGAAATAGCAACTGGTTCTCTTTTTTAATGAATCATTCACACAAACGGCTGACGCATTCTGAAACAGCAACTGATTCTCTTTATGAATGAATCATTCACTCAGATGACTCGTTGAAAGCAGCTGACTCATTCAGAAATAGCTACTGACTTTCTTTATGAATGAATCATTCACTCAGATGACTCGTTGAAAGCAGCTGACTCATTCAGAAATAGCTACTGACTTTCTTTTTGAATGAATCATTCACTCAAACAGCTGACTCATTCAGAAATAGCTACTGACTTTCTTTATGAATGAATCATTCACTCAGATGACTCGTTGAAAGCAGCTGACTCATTCAGAAATAGCTACTGACTTTCTTTTTGAATGAATCATTCACTCAAACAGCTGACTCATTCAGAAATAGCTACTGACTTTCTTTATGAATGAATCATTCACTCAAATGAATCGTTTGAAATAGCTGACTCATACAGAAACAGCATCTGATTCTCTTTATGAATGAATCATTCACTCAAATGACTCGTTCAAAATATTTCACTCATTCAGAAACAGCATTTGAGTCTTTCTATTAATGAATCATTCACTCAAACGACTCTTTCGAAACGGCTGACGCATTCAGAAACAGCAACTGACCCTCTTTATGAATGAATCATTCACTCAAATGACTCGTTCAAAGCAGCTGACTCATTCTGAAATATCAACTGGTTCTCTTTATGAATGAATCATTCACTCAAACGGCTGACGCATTCTGAAACAGCAAATGATTCTCTTTATGAATGAATCATTTAATCAAATGACTCGTTCAAAGCAGCTGACTCATTCAAAAACACCTATTGACTCTCTTTATGAATGAATCATTCACTCAAACAGCTGACTCATTCAGAAATAGCAACTGGTTCTCTTTTTTAATGAATCATTCACTCAAACGACTCGTTTGAAATAGCTGACTCATACAGAAACAGCATCTGACTCTCTTTATGAATGAATCATTCACTCAAATGACTCGTTCAAAATGGCTGACTCATTCAGGAACTGCAACTGATTCTCTTTATGAATGAATCATTCACTCAAATGACTCGTTTAAAGCAGCTGACTCATTCAAAAGCAGCAACTGACTCTCTAACTGACTAGTTCAAAAAATGTCTGCTTTGTTTAAAGTCATTTAGCAAGACGCTGTCTTAATAAATACATCATTGAAACATTGACTCAGTTGATTTGTTCGCACAGTGTCTGTGGATGTATTTCAGTGCGTCTGTGCTGTTTTTATGCTCAGGAGCGGCTGAGAAGAGCTCCAAACACGGAGCCGAGGACCGAACGCAGAACATCATCATGGTTCTGAAGGACCGCATGAAGATCCGCGAGCGCAACAAACCCGAGATATTCGAGCTGATCCAGGAGGTGTTTGACGAACCCAAAGCCAGCCACGGCACACAGATGAAGCAGATCAAGCAGAGCGTCCTGGACGGCACATCTAAGTGGTCTGCTAAAATCAGCATCACAGGTGAAGAGAACAAATGTGGGACAGAGTGACTATTGAGGACACACAGATTGCCATATCCATGCTGAAATGATATATTGTGCAGTAAATTAATAAATCCAAAAACTGTAAAACTTTTATTCACTTAAAATCACTAATTAACTACTAATAACTTTCTAATTTAATTTATTTAAACATGATTTAATTCCTGTGATTTCTATACCTGTGAGTTCATTACTCCAGTCACTCAGTTCTTCAGAAATGAACAGTCTGATATGCCGTTAAAGAAATGTTGCTTTATCATTATGTGTGTGTCTGTCTGTCAGTGTGCTGTGCTCAGGGTCTGCAGGCCAAGGATAAGACGGGCTCCAGTGATCCGTACGTCACTGTACAGGTGGGTAAAACCAAGAAGAGGACCAAGACCATCTACGGAAACCTCAACCCCATCTGGGACGAGAGCTTTCACTTGTGAGTGCATGAAAAACGGCTTCAGTTGTGGGAAATCTTTTGTGTTTTGTACTAAAAAATAAAATAAATAATTATTATTGAGGACTCGTCACCAGGGCCAGACGGAATCTGCGGACGTTTTCTGCTATTTCTGTGGAGAATTTTGGTAAAAATCTGCGGATTTCTGCGGAATTATTTTGGGAGTATCCAATGGAGTATCATAACTAAAACCTTAATATATTAAATAAAAAGTAATAAATTACTGAATAAAAACTGAATCAATTCAGATTTACACACATTTACTCAAGTAAATAAACAGAATTAATAATGGGCTAAAAATCTGCGTAATTCTGCGGAAAATCTGCGAAAAATCTGCAGAATTCTGTGCGCGCAGATTCCGTGTGGGCCTTTTAACACTAATACACAGTTTTACATGATTTGAATTGAATTTTTTTCTTTATTTTAATTTTAGGCAGAATTTCTGCACTTTTTAAAATTCTTTTGTCATTTTTATTAGTGTATTTGTCTGTTTTATTGCTCAATATGCTCATTTGATTTTAGTTTTTAGTTCTAACATTTTTTACTTTTGAAAATTTTACTTTGAGTAAATTCTTTAATTTAATTGGATTGTTTTGTATTGTATTTGGCTGCTTTCACACCTGTGAATGGATTCAGTTGTTCTGAAACAGAGATTACAATTGTTACAGTGTTGCTCTTTGCTCTTGGAGCAGTTCGCTTTCACACGGCAAAGTTTCTAATCGGACTAAAAGTCACATGTCAGTAAACTCTTCTCACATTGGCCAGAGTTTTACGGTTTATTTTGCAGAGTCCCGCTCAGCTGTCAGGAGAGGTGGTGGTTTGGTGGTGTTTGACAAGGTGCATGCAACGTGTCTGAAGAGTGAAGAGGGATGTGGTGGGGAGGGGTGAGAAGGGTGGGCGACGTACTTGAGGACCGGGAGGGAGACGCGCGATTTCCGGGAGATTATCACTCGTTTGCAGGCATCCGGGAGTCTCTGTCAAGTCAAGTCAAGAGTTTTATTTTTTTATGTTAATATTTTTATGTTAATAAAAAACATATGTTTTTATGTTTTTATGTTAATATTCCTTGCACGTGTAACACGTTTACAAAATTCACTTACCTCTAAGCTGCTACTTTGCACTTTGCACTTTTGCCATACTGCACCTAATTGCACTACAATAAATACCTCAACTTGGTCATATTCTGGAACAATAGGATATATGGTAACTGTTCACAGTTTATTAGTGTCTATTATTTAATTTATCTTGTACTATATTAGTTAAATGTTTAGTTTATGTCTAGTGTGTGTCATATTTTTGTTTTTTTTAAATTGCACATTGGAGTATGGAAGAAACGCAATTTCAGTCTGCTGTGTAATGTACTGTTGCATGGTTTGATTGACAATAAAGTTGACTTGACTTGACTTGACTTTATTTGTCACACACATAATAATACAAAGTATGACCAGCAGTGAAATGTAGGTCAGGTCCGCTCCAGAGACACTGCGCAAGAATAGATAAACAAAAATTAAATAATAATGAAAAAAATATGTGCAAAAAATTATACAAAGTACTAAGAATAGCAGCAATATGAGGTAGCTTATAGATATGACTAATACAGTGATATATATGTAACGTCAAGTGATGTGTAACACCGGGTTAGAATTTAGAAGCCTGATGGCCTGGGGAAAGAAGCTCCTCCTAAGTCTCTCAGTTTTTGCCATCAAGCTACGGAAACGTTTACCAGATGCAAGCAAAGTGAATAGGTAATTATCAGGGTGATTTAAGTCCTTACAGATTTTACCAGCTCTATTTTTACAGCGTTTGAGATAGATACAGCGCCGTTCTCGCTCGAAAAGCCGCCGGGTCGGCCGACTCGGCTGCCCTCCTCTTCCTCCTCCTCCTCCTCCTTCCCTAAACCCGAGCGACGGTTCGCAAAAGCCGTCCAGAAAAAAAAAAAAGCAAAAGCCCTCGTCTTCGATTTCGACCGCGTTTTCGGATCCCGCCGTGTTCTCGCCCTTATTTTTCGGATTCCGTTTTTTCGTCTTACCTGATTTCCGGAACCTGCTGTTCCCCGGACTCGATCCTGGCCATCGTCCACCGCGGCCGGCTCCTCCTCCTCCTTCTCCTCCGGGGCCTCCGCTCCGCCGACGCAACGCTGTGAGCTAAACGGACAAACTGATTGCATCGGGAAAGCCCTCCACTCGGAGGTGAGCCGTCGGCCGGCGAGCGCGAAGAGGAGGGGCGGAGTGGCGCCACACCGCCCCGCAGCGTTCGCTCGAAAAAAAACTAAACGGGGCCTTTACGTACCTCCGGCCATGTAAATCGCGGTATCCAGAAACGTCCGCGGGGCTACGTTTCCAGAATGAGCTTGGGTTGCACATATGCCAAACGAACCGAGCTAACTGAGCAAACCAGACTGGTTCCCAAACAAAAGTGCAGGTGTGAACGCACCCTTTGTTTGTAATGAACCCTTGTGTGCTGTTCATGTTTTCATCCACTCAGGGGTGATTTTGAGTCTTAATATGGCCACAACTTCTCTGTGTTTCAGCAAATTAAATGATTTTTGCTGACAAATCTTATTTGACACATATTTTGGGAAAATGCTTTCAAATAAAAAAAATAAACAACAACTAAAACCGTGGGTATATTGTTGCTGTTTTTGCCCCATTGACTTCCATTATAATCACATTTTTTGATTGCAAAGCCATGCCAGCATATAATCATGCATTCTTGGTGGTTGCTGGTTTTCCTGTTGGGAAGAGGGACAATGTGTATTTTATACTGTTGATCATCAGCTGCAGTGGAAAAAATCGTATTCATTCATTCATTTTTTGACTTAGTCCTTTTATTAATCAGGGGTTGCCACAGCGGAATGAACCGCCAACTTATCTAGCATATGTTTTACGCAAGCGGATGCCCTTCCAGCCGCAACCCAGAACTGGGAAACACCCATACACTCTTTATTTTCTTTCTTTCTTTTTTTCATTCATTCATTTTTTGTTCAGCTTAGTCCCTTTATTAATCTGGGGTCGCCACAGTGGAATGAACCATCAACTTATTCAGCATATGTTTTACGCAGTGAATGCCCTTCCAGCTGCAACCCAGTACTGGAAAACACCCATACAAGCTTATTCACACACACACACACACACACACACACACACACACACACACACACACACAACACACACACACACACAAACACACACACACTTACACACAGAGAGAGAAGAACACACATACACTACGGCCAATTTAGTTCATCAGTTCCCCTATAGCGCATGTGTTTGGACTGTGGAGTAAACCTGGAACACACGGAGGAAATCCACGCCAACACGGGGAGAACATGCAAACTCCACACAGAAATTCCAACTGACCCAGGCGAGACTGGAACCAGTGACTTTCTTGCTAACCACTGAGCCACCATGCCACCTAAAAAAACCTTAGTCTCTAGCTTAAACTGATACAGTTATATGGAGTATACTGTGTTTGGTGTGTGTGAACATAGTAAACACAGTAAGTGTATTTCTGCACACACACTATAATCTGCTGTTATACTCCACTGAACTCCACATAAAAGCTAGACACATTTTTGCTAAAGGGTTAATGCTGACAGCTGATGATCAACAATAAAATCAACACATTGTCCCTCATCCTAACAGGGATAACCAACGATGAAGAATGAATGCTGTCATGACTTTGCAATCCATTAATGTGATTATAATGGACGTCAATGGGGCAAAAACAGCCCCCAACATAACCAAAGGGGCGTCAATCAGAACAGTGCACAAGGGGTTAATTGTATTTGGTTTATTCATGTTTTTACCTTAAGCTAGCATTAATAGCGTGTCTCTGCTGTGCAGCGAGTGTCATAACTCCTCGGACCGGATAAAAGTGCGCGTCTGGGATGAAGACGACGACATCAAATCTCGTGTGAAGCAGCGGTTCAAGCGCGAGTCTGATGACTTTCTGGGTCAGACCATTATTGAAGTGAGAACGCTGAGCGGAGAAATGGACGTTTGGTACAACCTCGGTGCGTCTGTGACACCATTTAGCACATCGCTAGCACATTTTAGCAACATGCTTCTATTTGAATTAGGACAACAATGTTAGCACATGCTTTGCTATCATGTTTCAACATGAATATCATTGTCCTTCAAATTTTATAACAAGTTTTATTTTGTTGATTACATGTTTCTGGCATGACAATAATTTGCTAGCATGTTTTACTTCTTATTAGCATGATTTAACATTGTTGTTAACATTTTAAGCTTAATTTAGCACAATCCTAACATGTTATTGTAGACTGCTTTTGATTTAGCACACTGCTAGCATGTTATTAGCATGATGTAATACTTTAGTGATGTTATAACATGTTGATAATGTATTTCAAACATGATTTAGCATGTTGTTAACATGTTTCTAACATGATGAAATACTTTGCTTGTTTTAGTTGTTGTTAGCATGATTTAGCATTGTTGTTGTTAACATTTTATAACACGATTTAGCATATTGCTAACATGTTTTAAACATAATGTAACACTTTGCTAGTATGTTTTTACATGTTGTTAGCATGATTTAACATTGTTGTTAACATTTCTGTAGCTTGATTTACCACATTGATACCATGTTTTTTTGTTGCTAGTGATTTAACACACTGCTAACACTAGTCGACACTTTGACAATGTTTTAACATGTTGATAACATTTTAGCATGATGAAATACTTTTTCTAGCATGATTAAATACTTTGTTTGTTTTACTTATTATTAGCAAGATTTAGCATTGTTGTTAACATTTTTGTAGCTTAATTTAGAACAATCCTAACATGTTTTAGCATATTGCTTGTGATTTAGCACACAGCTAGCATGTTAATATAATGATTTACACTTGACAACATCTTAGCATGTTAAGCATGTTTCTAATAATTCAGTGTATTGTTAACATGTTTCTAGCATGATTAAATACTTTGCTTGTTTTACTTGTTGTTAGCATGATTTAGCATTTTGTTAGCATTTTGTTAACATTTTTATAGCTTAATTAAGGACAATCCTAACATGTTTTAGCAGATTGCTTGTGATTTAGCACACTACTATCATATTTATAGCATGACTAGATACTTTGTTGATCTTTTAGCATGTTGATAACATATTTCTAACATGATTTAGCATATTGCTAACACGTTTCGAACATAATGTAAAACATTGCTAGTACAATTTTACATGTTTTTAACATTATTTAGCTTTGTTGTTAACATTTTTAGCTTGATTTAACACATTGATTACATGTTTTAGCATGTTGCAGGTGATTTTGCACACTACTAACATGTTAATAGCATAATTTAACACTGACAACTTCTTAGCAAGTTTTAGCATGTTTCTAACATTATTTAGCATGTTGTTAACATGTTTCTAGCATGATGAAATACTTTGCTAGCATGATGAAATACTTTGCTTGTTTTACTTGTTGTTAGCATGATTTAGCATTGTTGTTGTTAACATTTTTTAACATGATTTAGCATATTGCTAACATGTTTCAAACATAATGTAACACTTTGCTAGTATGTTTTTACATGTTGTTAGCATGATTTAACATTGTTGTTAACATTTCTGTAGCTTGATTTACCACATTAATACCATATTTTTTGTTGCTACTGATTTAACACTGCTAACACTAGTTAACACTTTGACAATGTTTTAACATGTTGAAAATGTTTAAGCATGATGAAATACTTTGCTAGCATGATTAAATACTTTGTTTTACTTGTTAATATCAAGATTTAGCATTGTTGTTAACATTTTTGTAGCTTAATTTAGAACAATCCTAACATGTTTTAGCATATTGCTTGTGATTTAGCACACAGCTAGCATGTTAATATAATGATTTACACTTGACAACATCTTAGCATGTTAAGCATGTTTCTAACATAATTCAGTGTATTGTTAACATGTTTCTAGCATGATGAAATACTTTGCTTGTTTTACTTGTTGTTAGCATGATTTATCATTTTGTTAACATTTTTATAGCTTAATTAAGGACAATCCTAACATGTTTTAGCAGATTGCTTGTGATTTAGCACACTACTATCATATTTATAGGATGACTAGATACTTTGTTGATCTTTCAGCATGTTGATAACATATTTCTAACATGATTTAGCATATTGCTAACACGTTTCGAGCATAATGTAAAACATTGCTAGTACAATTTTACATGTTTTTAACATTATTTAGCTTTGTTCTTAACATTTTTTAGCTTGATTTAACACATTGATTACATGTTTTAGCATGTTGCAGGTGATTTTGCACACTACTAACATGTTAATAGCATAATTTAACACTGACAACTTCTTAGCAAGTTTTAGCATGTTTCTAACATTATTTAGCATGTTGTTAACATGTTTCTAGCATGATGAAATACTATGCTAGCATGATGAAATACTTTGCTTGTTTTACTTGTTGTTAGCATGATTTAGCATTGTTGTTGTTAACATTTTTAACATGATTTAGCATATTGCTAACATGTTTCAAACATAATGTAACACTTTGCTAGTATGTTTTTACATGTTGTTAGCATGATTTAACATTGTTGTTAACATTTCTGTAGCTTGATTTACCACATTGATACCATATTTTTTGTTGCTACTGATTTAACACACTACTAACACTAGTTAACACTTTGACAATGTTTTAACATGTTGAAAATGTTTAAGCATGATGAAATACTTTGCTAGCATGATTAAATACTTTGCTTGTTTTACTTGTTGTTAGCATGATTTAGCATTTTGTTAACATTTTTGTAGCTTAATTTAGTACACTCCTAAAATGTTTTAGTAGATTGCTTGTGATTTAGCACACTACTATCATATTTGTAGCATGTTGATAACATATTTCTAACATAATTTAGTATATTGCTAACACGTTTCTAACATAATGTAAAACATTGCTAGTACGATTTTACATGTTTTTAACATTATTTAGCTTTGTTGTTAACATTTTATAGCTTGATTTAACACATTGATTACATGTTTTAGCATGTTGCTGGTGATTTTGCGCACTACTTACATGTTAATAGCATGATTTAACACTGACAACGTCTTAGCATGTTTTAGCATGTTTCTAACTTTATTTAGCATGTTGTTAACATGTTTCTAGCATGATGAAATACTTTGCTTGTTTTACTTGTTGTTAGCATGATTTAGCATTGTTTTTGTTAACATTTTTAAACATGACTTAGCATATTGCTAACACGTTTCTAACAATGTAAAACTTTGCTAGTATGTTGTTACATGTTGTTAGCATGATTTAACATTGTCTTCAACATTTATGTAGCTTCATTTAACACATAGATAACATGTTTTAGCTTGTTGCTAGTGATTTAGCACACTTCTAACACTGCTTAACACTTTGACAATGTTTAGCATGTTGTTAACATGTTTCTAGCATGATGAAATACTTTGTTTGTTTTACTTGTTGTTAGCATAGTTTAGCATTGATGTTAACATTGTTGTAGCTAATTTAACACAATCCTAACATGTTTTAGCAGATTGCTTGTGATTTAGGACATTACTAGCATGTTTATAGCATGATTTACACTTTGACAATGATTTAGCATGTTGCAACCATTGTGAACCGGATTTAGCATGTTGCTAATCTAGCATAATGTTATCTTTTGCTAGCATGGTTTTAATAAGTTAGTCTGCTTTTATGTCATCATTAAGCATTTTGTAGCTTGATTTACACATTGCTAGCATTTGCAGACGTCTCATTCATTTCCCTCATCTTACATGCTATTATTTCTCACTGTTTAACCAGACAAGCGCACCGATAAGTCTGCTGTGTCAGGAGCCATACGTATGCACATCAGTGTGGAGATCAAAGGAGAAGAAACTGTGGCTCCATATCACGTCCAGTACACCTGTCTGCATGAGGTACATGCTAAAAACGGCTTAATTTCCAGCACATATATTTTGAAACACACTTGAACACATGCTGTTTTAGCATGCTGCATGTTTTGTAAGTGACTGAGTGCGATACTGTGTATCTCTGCAGCACATCTTCCACTACACCACAGAGAAGCAGAACGGCGGTGTAG